CTAGTGCTTAACCAGGCCTTTGTTTTAAAGGGCATTGCCCAGTTTCCAAGAGAATAACAGAATTTCAAACACAGCTTGGGACACTTAAAAGAGATCTTAAAATTTTGCCTGCAATTGTGTTATGTTATTATTAGCAAATATGATCCAGACTGGAGCTCCATATAGAATTTGTGATGCAATTTTGGCACTGAAAACTTTTATTGCTGCGGGAACAATTCTTCCTCCTTTTGAGTAAAAATATCAGAGCAAGGCTGCCATAGTAGATTTGCTTTCAGAAGTATTGCCTTACAATGGTGTTGCCAGGTTAGAGCACAGTTAAATAAAATGCCCAGATAACTAAAATTCTCTATTTGTGTTATTATATGATGTTGAATTTTCCAGATATACTTTTAAACTTTTTTTTTTTCAAAAACCAACATTTTAGTTTTATCATAGTTAATTTGTAAATGATTTTCTTGGCAATACTTAACTAGTGCCTCAAGGAAGTGTTTTAGGCCCAATCTAGCACGTGAAAGAAGAACAGTGTCATCTGCATATAACAAAGCACAAATTTTCCTTTTGGCTAATGATGGGCAGTGGCCCTCAACCTGAAGTAATGTGGTCTCCAGATCATTGAGGTAGATGTTAAATAGTGCAGGGGCCAGGATGCAACCTTGTTTCCCTTCTTCATTGTAATATCATCTGCAAGTGAACCTTTTCGGTTGTATCTAACTTGCATTTTACTGTCTTGATACAGTGCCTGTATCAGGTATGTAAGATGCCTGTCAGGAACCAAATGTTCTAATTTAGCCCAAAGTTTGGTTCTGTTAACAGAGTCAAAAGTGACTTTAAAATCTATAAAAGCAGCAAAAAGTTTACCTTTCAGGAAAACAGAATATTTTCTTGCCAAATAGGCGAATACAAAACATTGATCAATTGCTGACTTGCCTTTTCTAAAAGGAGCCTGAGCATTTGTTAAAACAGAATGCTCCTCAAAGTAAGAAGTTAAATTTTCATTTAAATGTCTTGCATAAAATTTTCCCAGGACTGATAACAAACTGATTGGCCTATAATTAGCAGGGTTTTCTATATCTCCCTTCTTATATAAGGGGACTACTATAGCCCTATTCCAACCCAAGGGGATTAAACCAGAGCTATCTGTTGCAATGAATAAGGCCTCTAATAAGGTGCCCCACCAATCTAGATTTTGTTTGAGGAGTTCAATGGGTATATTATCCTGGCCAGGAGCCTTGCCAGATTTTACTTTTGATATAA